TGTTGCTTCAGGACAGTCTAAAATATGTTGTTTTTTATATCAGCAAAGGCCAGCTATCAGCAAATGCACAAGTAATCAGGGCATTTCCCCAGAAATTCTAAGAGAAACTTGATCTGTTCTGAATGACAAGTCACAGATAGTGCAAATGGCAGAGAGCTCCTGAGTAGGGCGCACATTGTCAGTGAGACTCTTCAACAGGACAGGAATGGAGGAAATCGGTTTGTGTATGCCTGTTTCACATGATTTATAAACGTTTATGCATCTGAGGCATTTAAAAACTGTTGTAAGTTTGGGGAATGGGAAAGTGGCTCAGTGCTACAGTGCTTGCCTTGCATGCATGAGGCCCTGGGTTCGATTCCTCAGCACCACATTAAGCAGAAAAAGTGGCTCAAGTGGTACTCACCTTGAGCTACAGAGCTGAGGGACACCGCCCTGGCCCAGAGTGCAGGCCCCACAACTGACCAAAATAAAACAACTGTGAGTTTTCTGATTTCCCTTCTTCTTTATGCTGAACATAAATGAAGTAACAGGACCAAAGGCTTTGATTTGACTTGATACACTTGCAACTTCTGTTGTTACTAGCCCTTCAAAACCATTTAATGGCTCTGAGTCCACACATAAAAAAGGTATCTTCTTTTTCTTTTGGTCAGTCACCAGCATAAATCCATTCTGCACTTGTTGACAAGAAGCAGTTGCTCTTTGAGGGAGGGCATGCTTATGAACCTTCTAGGAGAGACAACAGAAGGGGCCACTGGTGAAGAATGTGCACTGGTGGTTTCTTCCTGGAGCATAGACCTTTACCAATTTCCACTGCATATATCACAATTGGAAAGTGACGTGGAATTAGGAAGACTCCCATCTTCCTGTAGACAGAGTGCATGGAGAGGATAAACCTCATGAATTTGGTGAAACAACTCGCTTTGTAAGGTGAGCTCATTTAGATATTCAATAATAAATAGGAGACAGCAGCAAAAGTTCACACCTATAATCATAGCTACTCGGGAAGCTAAGATCTGAAGATTTCAGTTTCCAATTAACCAAGCAAAAAATCAGAACTGGCTGGGTGCTGGTGACTCACCTGTAACCCTACCTATGCAGGAGGCAGAGGCCTGAGTTTTCATGATTTGAAGCCAACCCAGGCAGGAAATTCCATGGGACTCTTATCTCCAATTAGCGCCAAAAACCTGGAAGTGAAGCTGTGGCTGAAAGAGCACTAACCTTGAGCAAAATAGTTCAGTGACAGTGTGACTCAGTGACAGGCTAAAACCAACAAAAAAAATCAGGACTGGAGGCATGGCTCAAGTTGGAAAATTAGAGCTGGAATCTGAGTTCAACCTCTACTACTGGCACACACATGTATGTATAAGTACCTAGGACTATTTATCTTTGTTCAGAGTGAGAAATTGAAGTGATGGTAATTGCTTTGGCGATTATACTCACACGAATTGCAGGCTGCAATATCTTGCTTGCATCTACTTACCAGCAAGCTGAGCTGTAAAGGGTTCAGCAATAGAAAACCCTATACCAGGAAGTGGAGTTGTGGCTCAAAGTAGTAAAGCTCTAGCCTTAAGAAAATGAGCTGGGGCTGGGAAGGTGGCTCAGTGGTAGAGCGCTTGCCTTGCATGCCTGAGGCCCTGGGCTCGATTCCTCAGCACCACATAAGCAAAAAAGAAAAAAGCCGGAAGTGGTGCTGTGGCTCAAGTGATAGAGCGCTAGCCTTGAGCTGAAGAGCTGAGGGACAGTGCCCAGGCCCAGAGTTCAGGCCCCACAACCGGACCCCCCCCAAAAAAAAGAAAAAAAAGAAAATGAGCTGACCAAAAAATAAAAATAAAAAATTCCTACACTAATACCAAAATCAATCTCAGAAAGAAAACATGTGTGATCATCTTGTCCTTCCATAGGACAGAAATGTCTTTAAAGCATTTAAAAAGCAACTAAAATCACAAGGGAAAAGATCAATTAAACGACTTCGTAAGTTAAACACACAGTAGAAAAGCTAAACAAAGATAACAGCTGTATGGGCAAAATACAGAGGTATGACAAAAATGAACATTTTACTTATATAAAAGGAGTGCATAGATATTTTACACACCTTTAAACTATATATAAGAAAAAAGTGGCCGGCGTTGGTGGCTCACGCCTGAAACCCTAGCTACCCAGGAGGCTGAGATCTGAGGATCACCATTCAAAGCCAGCCCGGGCAGGAAAGTCTGTGAGATTCTTACCTCCAATAAACCACCAGAAAACTGGAAGTGGCACTGTGGCTCAAGTGGTAAAGCGCTATCCTTGAGCTGAAGAGTGCAGGGACATCGCCCAACCTGAGTTCAAGTCCCACGACCAACAAAAAAAAAGGTAACAAGTATAAACAGGAGCCCAAAATCAAATGGTTAAAAAAATATGTGCCAGAGTAAAACATCTGATAACATGCCTATCAGATTAATGAATTACTTCAGCTAGGTGCTGGTGGCTCATGTCTATATAATCCTAGCTACTCTGGAGGTTGAGATCTGAGGACTGAGGTTTGAAGCCAGTGTGGACAGGAAGTCTCTGAGACTCTTATCTCCAATGAACCACAAAAAAGCCAGAAGCAGAGCCACCGGCACCCGGCCTTAACGTTATTCTTGTAACAAAATTAGCTTCCCCAAAGTTTGGTCAAATGTCTCTTCCTCTGTATTCTTTTGTCTTAATTTAATGTTCTATACCTGAACTCTGGGCTCTTCACCAATTTCTGCCTTGCCTATCAATACCTGCCAGAATTACTTCCTGGAACAATCTGATCAAGTTGCTTCCCTAATTAAAGCAAGGACAGGGCAAACCAGGCCCGTGTTGACCCATACCTCTTAAGCTTCCCAACCCATTCTACCCTACCCTTCCCACTTTGCCTTCTATATCCCGGTAGCACTTAACATGGTGACAATGAACTGAATATCTTCTTTTGTTTCTCCTGTGCTTGGGATATCAGCTTTTTGCTATCTCATCTACCACTGCTACATCCTTAGGACTCAAGTTATCATCCTTCAGAAAGTCTTTTCCTAACTAAAGCACACTGATGCCAATGTTTTTCCTGACATAAATGCCCCTCTTTCCTCTGGGGCCCCAGTAGTACTTTGTGAGAAAAAAAAACCACTGCAGAGAATATACCATTTGCACTGGCATTGTTTCCCTGCCTGCCACTAATTCTTCCCATGCAGGACAGTTCATGTTCACTAAAAGGTCAAGAGCCCATCTAGGGCCATTTTCATGTAATCTGTTTCAGATTGTTTTTCCACCTTGGCTTTTTCTATTTTATTTTTGTCCGTCATAGGGCTTGAACTCTGGGCCTAGGCACTGTCCCTCAGCTCTTCAGCTCAAGGCAAGTGCTCTACCACTTGAGCCACAGCACCACTTCCAGTTTTCTGGTTGTTAATTGGAGATGTTTCTCACAGAATTTCCTACCCAGGCTGGCTTTGAACCGTGATCCTCAGATCTCAGCATGCTAAGTAGCTAGGATTACAGGCGTGAGCCACCAGTGCCAGCCCTTGGTTTTCATATAACATGAATTAGATCTGATATGACTGATACTGTTTCTCTCATGTTATAAACCTTTCTGTGCCCAATGTGGGGTGGGGTGGAGAAAAATGATCCAAAAATACTCTGTTGGTCTACTGAGTTTTTGGTTTCTGGTTTTTGTTTTATTTGTTCAAGTCCCTGGGGCTTGTGAACTCAGAGCATGGGCTCTGTCCCTAAACTTTTATTGCTCAAGGCTAGTACTCTACCATTTGAGTCACAGCTCCATTTCTGACTTTTGGGGGCTAAACTGGAGATAGAGTCTCCTAGATTTTATTGCCCAGGCTGGCTTTAAACTGTGATCCTCAGATTTCAGCCTCCTGAGTAGATAGGATTACAGGCATTAGCCACTGGTGCCTGCTTCCATTGCATTTTAAAACCAAAACTGGTTGCAAATAATACATCTCATAGATGTATTTTATCATTTAGCATTGATTAGATCCTGACAGATAAAAATCAAACAACAAGGGCTGGGAAGGTGGCTCAGTGGTAGAGCACTTGCCTTGCATGCCTGAGGCCCTGGGTTCGATTCCCCAGCACCACATAAGCAAAAAAAAAAAAAAAAAAGCCAGAAGTGGCGCTGTGGCTCAAGTGGTAGAGCGCTAGCCTTGAGCTGAAGAGCTGAGGGGCAGCACCCAGGCCCAGAGTTCAGGCCCCACGACCAGACCCAAAAAAAAAATAAAAAAATAAAACAACAAAAGAAAAAAGTATGGCGAGTCTCCTGATTGCCCATAATTTTATACCTAGATTCTAGGTATCATGTCTGCTCATGACATATAATTGGATCTTTTGTCATAAATGGACTCTACCACTGTTTTGTCACTTTTAGTGTAGACCCCTGATTTCCTGGTCACATCCTATTTGTCCTTCCATTAACCAAGTTCAAAGAGTATGTACTTCACTATGAGACAGTACCCTAACTCTGGGCTCCCCCACTTTTCTTTACAAAATTCACATTCACAATATACTGTTCAGAATCAGCTCCCGATTCAGGGTTCCCACACACCATTTTATCTAAATATTATCAAGTCATTTAAGCTTTTCCTTTATGGCAACTGGCATTAGAAAACATCCTTTGTTCCCCCATTGTAAAGACCTTAAAAATGTCCAATTTTTGTAGAAATACCATTTCACACCATGGCAAACTGTTTTAGAAATAAGACATAGTGCTTCACCTAAGTCTTTTTATTTATTTGGCTCTAGGAAGAATTTGCATGAAAATGAGCCTGTATGGCAGGTACAGAATGTACTGTAACAGCACCAGAGAGGTACAGCCTCTTTCCTCTACAGAGCCTCATTGTTAATACATACATATGACTTTAGCAATAAAACCAGATATTCCAAGAAAAAAAAAAAGCCCTTTAGGGAAAAAATAATCAATGTAGTGAGTTCAAATTGACTGTTCCTGTTATATACTTAAATTCAAAGAATGGATACATTCAGAGGCCCAAATGTTGGCATAGAATAAAATCATGTTCATTTATTTTTTTTCTGCATCTTAGAATTAGAAGGCATAAAATTAAATATGTTGAATGTAATAAATTCATCCATACAAGTGCAAGTCTCCAGCTATAATGCATCTCATGGCAGATTTATTATTTAAAAATGTACCAGTAAATCAAAAAAGGGGAGGGAATATGTCCATTTAACTTTTATTGAAGTGTATGTAGGAGGTCTTCAGAAATCAATTATGAGCATGAAGATATGGCCAAACATAAAATCTATCAAATTCAGTGAAAAGTTGCTGACTTTAAGTAGTTGTAAGAATGACCAATATATTCTTTGTTAACAACCCCTCACTCTATAGTTTAAAAAAAAAGGATAAACATTCAGTAAACATTCTTTCCTAAGGTAGTTTCCCTTATATATCAGTGATTTATCCATTTCTTTGTATACACAAATTTGTTGAACAAACCAATCAGTGGTTCTCACAATTGAAAAATAAAAGCACAAAAAAGTTTACACTCTTGTACAGGTAAATAAAAGGTCACCTTGAATTAAACTGGATCTCCTTAAGGGCATAGTATAGTTTCAGTTTCATTACCTATTACATAATTAGTTTCTTACATACAAATATTGACATATTTGGCTTGTGCTTCGAAGCCTTTGTGTCTATGAAATCCACATCAATGCAGCTCATAATTGGAAGTCACTGGGGAGGTCTTTGCTGCTGCCTGGTTTGACCTGATCTCGTGTTAGAGACTCCTCAGCACCTGCTGTGGCTCGGCACACTTCTGAGGCATCATCAATGTCAGGGTCCAAGCCTTCGGGGCATGGAAGTTTCAGCAACTCTTCTCGCAGTTGAGCAGTGTGACGCTAGAGGAAGAATACCACTATGGTTAGAAATCTAAACTCTAGGAATCTAGCACAGTATCTCAGAAAGGACCTCAATTTTCACAAAGCATTAGGCCTACAAATATTTATTGATCACATCTGTGTGTTGCTGATCACTTTAGTACACAGTTAATATGTCAGGCAGGAAACAAAACTGCAAGAAATCCCCACATTCAAAATTTACTGAAATTAACATGCTCAAAGATCTGTCAAAAGAGCTGTCAGTACTATGTACCTTGCCACAGGACAAGCATTACTAATGACTCACAGTACATCATTAATTTGACACAAACAGTCTCTTAAAAGGCAGTACCCTTAGCTTGTCATTTATACTATCTATCTCTGGCTCGATATTTTTTTTTTATTTTAGTCGATCATGCAGCTTGAACTCTAGGTGCTGTCTTTTAGCTCTTCAGCTCAAGGCGAGCACTCTACCACTTGAGCCACAGAGCCACTTCTGGTTTTCTGGTGGTTTATTAGAGGTAAGAGTCTCACAGACTTTCCTGCCTGGGCTGGCTTTGAATGGTGATCCTCAGATCTCAGCCTGCTGAGTAGCTAGGATTACAGGCATGAGCCACTAGCGCCCAGGTTGATTGCCAACATTTTTGCCTGAGCCAGCGTCCAACTGTCAGCCTCCTGCCTACACCTCTCACGTAGCAGGGATGATAGGTAGGATTACATTACAGGCATGAGCCACCAGTACCTAGCTCTGGCTCAATATTTTTGACAAAAAGAAAGCTCCACAAATTAAAATGAACCAGGTTAGCCAGACATCAGTAATTCTTTCTACTCAGGAGGTGGCCAGACCAAGCAGAAAAGGCTAGGCAACACTTATCAATAATTATCCACAAAAATGCTGGCTGTAGAGCTGGGCACTGGTGGCTTATGCCTGTAATCTTAGCTACTCAAAAGGCTGAGATCTGAGGATGCAGCCTCAGGAAGGAAAGTCAGCCTAGGCAGGAAAGTCTATGAGACTCTTATCTCCAATTAATCACAGGAAAGGCCAAAGTGGTGCTGTGGCTCAAATGGCACAGCCTTGAACAAAAGGAGCTCAAGGACAGTGTCCAGGCCCAGAGTTTAGGCCCTAGGAGTAGCAAAAATAACAACAAAAAACAAAACAAAACAAAACACAAAAAAACCAGCTGGAAGTAAGTAGAGCCGTGGCTCAGGTGGTGGTATACTACTAGCCTTAAGCAAAAAAGCTCAGGCGCAGCACCTAGGCCCTGAGTCAAGTCCTAGGCCTGGCATAAACAAACAAAACACACTGAGATACAGTTCAGCGGTGAAGCCTATGCCTGGTATATGTAAGACCCTAAGATCCATTCTGAGTATCACAAAAATCCCACCACAGCAAAAAACAAACTGTTATTTTAGTCACTGCAAACAAGTATTTATCAAATACTAAGCCTTATGTAAAATGTTTGCTAAATGTTTCACCTTACTTGCCCCACTAAATTTTAAGAAAGTTTAGCAAATTGAGCAAATAATAAGGAACCTCTAAAGAGAGTGGATAATTCTGTATTGCTCCAAGCCAGGCATGCTTACCTTGAGGGCCGCTGCATGGTGAGACATGGTCCTGCCCACACGCTTGTCACTGCTATACTGCTGGATGTCTGCAATCCATTCCTCACACTGGGCCATGATCTCAATTCTTTTCAAGTAGAAATGTTTGTGTATAACCTAGAGAACAAAATAGGTTGACAGAATTAAAAGTATGTGGCATTACCAAAAATAAAAAATGCAATTTCAGACACTGCAATGTTTTTTCTGTTTTCTGTTTAAATTTTGTGGACTCTTTTAGCAGGGAAGAATCAGGCTCCTGATTACATATATCAGATTACATACGCTGCTCTCCTCAGTTCTACAATACAATGTCCCAACTTACTCAGAGATCAGGGTGTGCGTATTTTCTCAAAAGGTACATATACTCAGAAGGGAACTTTTCCAAAACATAATTTCTAGCACAACACAAAAAAACTGGTGACCAAGGGAGATTGTTTAGGAAGAAAACTTTTGTTTTGTTTTGTTTTTGTTTTTTTTGGTTGGTCATGGGGCTTGAACTCTGGGCCTGGGCACTGTCCTTCAGCTCTTCAGCTCAAGGCTAGCTCTCTACCACTTGAGACACAAGCACCACATCAGGTTTTCTGAGTGGTTTATTGGAAAAAGAGTCTCAGTGACTTTCCTGCCTGGGCTGGCTTTGAACTGCAATCCTAAAATCTCAGCCTCCTGAGTATCTAGGATTACAGGTGTGCCACCAGCGCTCAATCAAAAAAAAAAAAAAAAGAAACTTCATGCATACTCCATTATTACTGATTTTTAGGGTCAATTCTAAGCTAAAGTATAGCAGATATTGCTAATAATAAAGTATTTCACTAATTGAACATACCTCTTTAAAACAGGGTGAAGGGTTTCTGATTTGTTCTAGCATTGCCCATTTAACCGTTGCTTGTCTAATGTTTCCATCATACTCGCGAGAGCTCTGTGTGCCACTTGGAGTGCCTCTAGACCGTTCATATCCTGGTTCATTAAAGTAAGGCTCAGCTACTAATATAAGGGACTGGACTGACACCAATACCTGAGGAAAACAGAAAATAAAGAAATTTTGCTATTAAACTGATAACTTGCTTTAACCACTGGAATCCCTTTTGTTTTTTTCAAGGGTGCTGGTATTAGAGTTTGAAGTCAGTACTAATCAGTACATGGACACTGTCCCTGAGCTTTTGTGCTCAAGCTAGTGCTCTACCACTTGAGCCATAGCTCCAGTTCCAGCTTTTTTGTAATTCACTGGAAATAAGAGTCTCATGGGCTTTCCTACTCAGGTTGGCTATGAACCACAATCCTCAGATCTCAGCCTCCTGAGTAGCTAGGATTACGGGTGTTAGCACTGACACCCAGTTTATAAGAATCTTGTTTAAAGTACTTGTTTGAATATTTCAATTACTATAAAATTGATATTCATGATTAAGACACTTACATACTTTATTAGTAAAGCAAAAGTTAGGTATGAAAGAGCCATATACAACATTTATACATCTGTTTTAAATGATAGTGGAGAATTAATTAGAATAGAGAAGAATACTCTTTACAGAAAATACTTTAAAAAGGTTTATAAATACAGTAAATCTGTTTTGTTTGGAGGGAAGATGAGGTTTCATACAAGTCAAACTCCAGGGTTCAAGTGAAACCCTCTGACTAAGCTTCCCAAGTAACTGGGACTACAGACATGATAACATGCCCAACTCCCTTACCAAAGTAAACACTGCTCAAAGTTTTCTTACTCATACCCTTATAGAGCATAGAAACAGCCATATACTCTGAAAATACTCATAAGTAGAGCTACATGGGGCAGTTTTAAAATTTTATTCCAAGGAACAGCCCTCGCTCGCTTTCTCTCTCTCTCTCTCTCACACACACACACATAAACATTCCATATTAAAAACTTATTCCTAGACTTCATGATTCTAAGATTAACTTTGACAGTAAGTATTTACCAGAAAGCCTGGTTTGCTTGTTCCTGGTGAATATAATATTCTCAGCTAACAGGCCCTATAACTAGCTAATATAACATCTTTGTAGGAAGCAAAACATTAAATATCACCTTCCCATATATGAAAAAGGATTAATGACAACTTCACTTTTATTAGGCATAATGATTAAATAGTCATCAAATAAATATCTTAGCAATTGAGAGATAAATATCCTTAGAAAACTTTTATCTTCACTTAAAAATCAGATTTAAAAAAAATTATCTTTAAGTAGTTGTGCAAAATGGTCTCAATTAAAGACTCTTTTTTTTTGGGGGGGGGGGCAGTCGTGGGGCCCGAACTCTGGGCCTGGGTGCTGTCCCCCAGTGATTCAGCTCAGGGCTAGCGCTCTACCATTTGAGCCACAGTGCCACTTCCAGCTTTTTCTGCTTGTGTGGTGCTGAGGAATCGAACCCAGGGCCTCATGCAAGCAAAGCAAGTACTCTACCACTGAGCCACCATCCCAGCCCTTAATTGAAGACTTTTTAAATAGACATTTGAACCTGCAAATTGGACCTAGGAGAAGATATGGTTAAACAGAATGTATAAGTGTCCTTAAGCCTAAATTCAACTAGAGATAACTTGAAAAAAAAAAATCTGAGGTTCACTGTTCAAAGACAACGCAGGAAGAAAAGTCTTCCTGAGACTCTCATCTCCAATGAATTACTCAAAAACTGAAAGTAGAGCTATAGCTCAGTGGTAGAGTGCTAGCCCTTTTTTTTGTTATTGTTTTTTTTTGGTGGGTCGTGGGGCTTGAACTCTGGGCCTGAGCACTGTCCCTGTGGTCTTCAGCTCAAAGCTAGCCCTCTACTGCTTGAGCCACAGAGCCACTACCGGTTTTCAAGAGGGTTATTGGAAGTAAGAGTCTCATAGACTTTCCTGCCTGGGCTGCCTTTGAATCGTGATCCTCAGATCTCAGCCTCCTGAATAGCTAGGATTACAGGAGTGAGCCACCAGCACCCAGCTTAGAGTGCTTGAGCAAAGAACTCAGGGACAGAGCTCAGATGCTGAGTTCAAGCCTCATGACCAATGAAACAAGAACAAAAAAAGAAAGCTCACAAATCTATTTTTGAAAGGATTACTATTATTTTAAATCTAAGCCTTTTTCAGAAAAGTTTATGAATCGTGAGTATTTACAGTTTCAAATAGAAACCAATTTAGATTAAAGCTTGTTTTGTTTGAAGTCCACTAGAAGAAGCTTAAGTATATAAATAAACTTATTTTTGTATCTTCCTTAACATAACAACAACAAATGATTTCTGGTTGTCTTTCCTAAATACTAAGTTATAAATGAGTTTAAAATGTCTACATCATATTATCAATGTATTTGTCCATTTCTTTGCTGGAATTTTGAATTATTAAGACAAAGCATCAACAAAACCAGGATATTATACAAACTTGTAGATGCTAAAGGGTTTGTAAAGACTAAAGAACCATATGTCAAATGTTTTGCAAAGTTAAGAACTGCAAGTCTTAAGTTTTATGAATTCCAGGACAATACTTGTGAGCTTCAGACATGGTAAACTGATTACAAAAAAAGCTAGATCAGGGGCTAGGAAGGTGGCTCAGTGGTAGAGTGCTTGCCTTGCATGCCTGAGGCCCTGGGTTCGATTCCTCAGCACCACATAAGCAAAAAGAAAAAAGCCAGAAGTGGCGCAGTGGCTCGAGTGGTAGAGCGCTAGCCTTGAGCTGAAGAGCTGAGGGACAGCACCCAGGCCCAGAGTTCAGGCCCCACGACCGGACCCCCCCCCCAAAAAAAGCAAGCTAGGTCACAGTGAAGAAATACATAATATCAGTAGTGTATTAAATTCTATTCACAAGGGTTTAGGCCTTCTCCCAGTGTGATCTGGGAGCTGTGAGAAAACCATATCATCATTTAAGAATTGAAGAACTAAAAAGAGTGCACTTTTTAGAATAGTGGTATTTTGACATAACTGAATTTTTGTCTTATGTCCTAACTTGAGTTTCTAAACTCCAGATGAGACTTTACTAGCTAATCATCTGTAGGCATTTAACATTATTTCCTACCATTCTATCACGCAAGGGAAAGGATTAACTACGTTCATTATTAACCACTAAAATATTATTCAAGCACACAGTTCTCCATTTTGAAAGTGAAATTGTCAAAATTTTGTTTACTTGCAAAAAGCTTGAGGTCTGAGGATTCCACTTCTCCTCTGGTCTTCCATGCCAGGTATTTAAGATGCTTAAACAGACCTGAAGAAAGGAAAAGGGAAGAAATATAAATAGAATTTGAAAGGAATGTGTAAACACAAACTGTCACAACTATAGGACTAAAGCAAAATTCTCTAAAATCAAATTACTTCAGTTTTATGAACCCAAACAAACTCCCAGGAGTTAGTCTGTCAGAGTAAATGGTCACAACTAGAAGTAAAACAAAATGTTCTCATATGGCTTCATATAAACATGAAGTTGGAAAAGGGAAGAAGGCACTGATCCTCTTGGAAAAGTATTAGGGATTCCCAGGGTTCCTTGAACACACTTAAAACATATTAGATATTTATTCACTTAGCAAGACTGAATGTAAGCTATTTACCAAACATATGTGTAAACAGTTTGCTACTGGAATAAGATTAAGGATATATTATTTGTACATACAACAAATCACAAAGCAAAATAAAATTGGAATGTATTACATTATGTTTTCCTGGCACATAACTCACCAATATAAAAATATTATTGACTAGACACCAGTGGCTCCCACCTGTAATCCTAACTACTCAGTTCAAAGCCAGCCTGGACAGCAAAGTTCCTGAGACTCCTTATCTCTAATTAACCACCAGAAAAGCAGAAATAGAGCAGAAGCTCAAAATGGCAGAACAGGAAAGCTCAGGGACAGCACCCAGGCCTTGAGTTCACACCCCATGCCTGACAAAAAACAAAAACAAAAACAAAAAAAATCACTGGACTTAATTTTTTTTTTTTTGGGTCCGGTTGTAGGGCCTGAACTCTGGGCCTGGGTGCTATCCCTCAGCTCTTCAGCTCAAGGCGAGCACTCTACCACTTGAGCCACAGTGCCACTTCCAACTTTTTTCTTTATGCTTATGTGGTGCTGAGTAATCGAACCCAGGGCCTCAGGCATGCAAGGCAAGCGCTCTACCACTGAGCCACCTTCCCAGCCCTGGACTTAATTTTTAATAACAAATCCACAATTTCAAATAATGGCAACAAAACTGGACTAGAGATGTATCTAAGTGGTAGAGTGCTTGCTTAATGTGTGGTAAGTCCTGGGCATAACTCCAGCACAGGGGGGGAAAAAAAAGCAAAACTAAAGATACATTTATATTGGTATGGATCATAATTATGGTGGCAAAAAATACATGTTTTAGGACATTGGACCCCTGAGAATTCCATTTCTCCATTTGCTTAAGGAATTCATTTCTTAAATAAAATTTAGTGTTGTGTACCTCCAACTCTATTCGGGTTCTGGTATCTATCAAGAAAAGGCAATATGGCTATTTCTTTTCAGTTAAACAGAATCTATTCTTAGTTCTTTCAAACAAATCTAGGGCTACCTCTAGTTAAGCCTTTAATAAAACTAGGAAACTAACTCCATTCTTCTGATTTGACTTGGTGATAAAGAAACGGTAATGGTTCAATTACAAATATGAGGCAGATGAAAGTTTTGAAGGAGGTAAAACAGAAAATTGGGGGACATCTTTGATAAAACATTGACCGCAATCACTTTTCTCATCGTCAAAGGAGTAACTGCTTAAGTTGACATATTTCTTCTCACCTATTAGTTTTAAACACTCAATATTCAGCATGGAATGCATTGGTGAAATTACAACCGATTTCTCAAAATTATTTTGACAAGTAAAGATTTTTGTTTTAAAGGTTTCATTGTGGGGCTGGGAATCATATTCAGGATCATGTGAATGGCAGGCAAACACTCTCACTGAGTTATATCCCTAGCACTGACTATTCTTTTAAATTTAACTTTGAAGGTGGACTGTCACATGGAATTTCTTAAGTATCTCTTTCATCTTCTTCTTCTTCTTCTTCTTCTTCTTTTTTTAAAGCCAGTCCTGGGGCTTGAACTCTGGGCCTGGGCACTGTCTCTGAACTTCTTTTGCTCAAGGCTAGCACTCTACCATTTAACCCACAGCACCACTTCCGGCTTTTTCTGTGTATGTGGTACCGAGGAATCGAACCCAGGGCTTCATGCATGCTAGGCAAGCACTCTACCACTAAGCCACCTTCCCAGCCTTCTTTCATCTTCTTTTAAAACATGAAAATGTAAAAATCACTGAAAACTAATTTTAAAAATGAGTTTACCGATTGAGAGGGAAAAGGACAGTGGAGAATAAGGCCAAACAGGGCAGAAAGTTATGAGACTTTATCTCAAAAAGATTCAGTAGGCAGTGTTAAGAGAATCAAGGCTGAAACCAGACAGGACAAAAGCTGGAGATCCTAGGTGAAACAAAGAACAGCAGAAAAAGCTGTGGGGTGGGGCGGGGCATCTGGGAAGGTGGCTCAGTGGTAGAGTGCTTGCCTTGCATGCATGAGGCCCTCAGTTCAATTCCTCAGCACACAGAAAAAGCCAGAAGTGTGCTTTGGCTCAAGTGGTAGAGTGCTAACCTTGAGCTGAAGAGCTAAGGGACAGCACCCAGGCCAGAGTTCAGGCATAATGACTGACTCTCCCCCACCCCACCCCCCCAAAAAAGGAGAAAGAAAAGGAAAAAAAAGGTGGGAGGGGGGCTTGGATCAACTGGTAGAGTGCTCGTCTCACAAGTACAAGGACTTAAGTTCAAACACCAGTATCACTAATTAATAAAATAAATTTTTGTTTTTCTTTTGTTACTTTTGGTGTATGTGCCAGTCCTGAGGCTTGAACTCCAGGCCTAAATGCTGTCCCTCAACTTTTGTTATCAAGGTTAGCATTCCATCATTTGAGACCTCCACTTCCGGTTTTTTGGTGTTTTATTGGAGATAAGAGTCTCAAGGACTTTCCTGCCCATGCTAGCTTTGAACTGCAATCCTTAGATCTCAGCCTCCTGAGTAGCTAGGATTAGAGATATGAACCATTGGCATTCAGCTTAAATCTTTTGGCAAATGTCAGAATTGTATGTTTCATGAAACCATAAAAGATAGTTGTGATTGGGGGAGAGGTTTTGGAAAGCTGTGATATGCAGTGTTTTTGCCATTCTGCCACTTTTAGATATAGCTGAAAAGATGACTAAGGCTGGAAATACATAACATAAAGAAAGGATATAAGACCTAACAGATACTGCTGTATTCTTAGCAAGAGTAAATCTAAGTGTGCTTAATCAATTAATCTGTCAGTAATTTAAGATGATGTGTCTTTTGTAACACTGTTTGTTTCTACCCTTTTCTGTTTCTTTTTTTATTTCAGCTAATCTGTGCATTCAGGGAAGCCAAGAATGAAGAACCCCACATCTTCTTAGAAAAATGGTAACTAGAAATATCTTGCTTTAATTACAAAGAAACTTTGGATCCAACAGAAATATGTAACATTAAGAACTAGGGCTGGAGGCCGGGTGGCTCACACCTGTAATCCTAGCTACTCAGGAGACTGAGAACTGAGGATCAAGGTTCAAAGCCAACCAGGGCAAGAAAAGTCCGTGAGACTCTTATCTCCAATTAACCACCAGAAACTGGAAGTGGTACTGTGGCTCAAGTGGCAGAGTGCTACCCCTGAGCTGAAGAGCTGAGGGACAGCGTCCAGGCCCAGAGTTCAAGCCGCACTACTGACCCCCTCACAGCCCCCCCCCCGAAAAAAAGAACTAGGGGCTGGGAATATGCCTTATTGGTAGAGTGCCTGCTTAGCATGTATGAAGCCCTGGGTTTATTCATTAGTACCACATAACCAAAATAAGCCAGGAATGGTGCTGCGACTCAAGTGGTAGAGTGCTAGCTTTGAACAGAAGAAGCTCAGGAACAGTGCCCAGTCCCTGAGTTTAAGTCATCAGGATGAGCAAAAACAAAAACAAACAAACAAAAAAAAACCCCAGAAGACTGCAATTACATTACCTTGCCATCATTGTAGAGGTTGGGATTGAATCGCACGCTATGACCACCGGTTGTTTCAAGATTCACAAGTGGGGGTGAACTGGGATAATCTTGAGGAAAATACACATCAAATTCAAAACAGCCATTTGCATAGGGGGTGTCCGCTGGTCCCGTTATCAAAACCTGATATTCAGACGAACAAACAGAGGACTGTATACTTTCCTCAGACACCAACATAAATAATTCATCTCGTCCAGAATGTGTGAAAATGAAATTAGAAGAACTAACACAAAACTAGAAAACTATTAGAATGAAAATGATTGGGTTTTGGTGAAAATGGGCTATTAAAACAGATGCTGAGGGACCGGGAAGGTGGCTCAGTGGTAGAGCGCTTGCCTTACATGCATGAGGCCCTGGGTTCAATTCCTCAGCACCACATAAGCAAAAAGAAAAAAAGCCAGAAGTGGCGCTGTGGCTCAAGTGGTAGAGCGCTAGCCCTGAGGTGAAGAAGCTGAGAGGCAGCACCCAGGCCCAGAGTTCAGGCCCCATAACCAACCAAAACAAAACAAAACGAAACAAAAAAGATGCTGAGCCAGGCTCTGTTGGGGCTCATGTCTGTAATTCTAGCTACTTAGGAGTCTGAGATCTGGAAAAGACATTTCAGGGCCAAACTTGGTAAACTTCAAGGTCTAGAATAACCAGCAAAAAGCGAGGTTGGAGGTGTGGCTCAAGGAGTAAAGTGAAAGTATTAATAATAAGCACAAGGCAACAAGTTCAAATCCCAGTACCAGAAAAAGGGGAGGGGGGGAGATGCTATTAGTAGCAATACAATTTGGCTCAAGCAAATACTCTTTTTTTTTAAAATAAAAATCTTTCTGCTGATCTTTCAAGATGCTATAGCTTTTCACCAATAGGAGATTCTATACACACATTCATAATTTTATCTGAAGGAATGAAGATATTTATCTACTACTGCAACATATTATGACAAGATTTGCAGAGGATGATAGCTTCCTAGAGGGTGACTTGTAGTTCAAAAACCAGCAGAGAACCCAACAGTGAGTGTAAGAATTACGTAATGTATTTTAGACGTTTAAAATGTAGACAAATAGGTAAATTTATGAAATGTCTACAGATAGGTTATCCAATACAGCAAAGGAAGCAAAAGAAAAAACCTCCCCTAGGAACACAGGTAAGGATGGTTGACACATTATAAGTGAAGAGTATTTTTCTTCTCCAGGTGTCAGACTATGAAGACATTTTTTTCATGACTTTCTTAAAATTGTTACTATAAAGGTGATATACAGAGGGGTTACAATTTCGTAAGTCAGGTATCTTTAAATAGTTGTACAAAGGGGTTTCAATTTAAAAGTCCACTTATGTATAAAAGTATCCTAGTGACCCTTTCCATCTTTCTCCCCTTCTCCCTTCTGTCCTATGCTCACCAGTGTCCACAAGTTTCCTAGCTTTATCTTCACATATACATTGAGTAACACGGGCACAGTCACCTGCCATTTCTCTCTCTTTTTCTCCTATCACGCTCCAAGAAGACACGGTTCAGCTTCCTGGTATTCACTTTGTTAAACTGTTAACTATTCAAAGGAGGAGTTACATCATGGAAAACCACCCCTGCTGTACCATACTTTAATTGTTGTACATATGTATATCCCTGTAGATGTTTATTAAGGTTTGTATTTCAGCTCTAACTTCCAAGTTTCTGGTGGTTCACTGGAGATAAGTCTGTCACAGAGTTTCCTCATTGGGCTGGCCTTCAACCCCAATTCTTAGATCTCAGCCTCCTGTGTAGCTAGGATTACAGGTGTGGGCCACAGATGCCCAACAAGTCAGGACTTTCCTTGATGTTATATTTTCTTAGAATTTGATTTCAGATCAGTGTTAAAACAGAAAGGTGCAGATACTATATTACTATTACTTTATTCACAGACTTTTTGAGCTTGAAAATACATTTTCTGAAAGAAATAAAGACTAATTTTTAACAAGTAATATTATGAAATATAAGGGAAACATGGTGGATTACAAGAAATCCCGTACTCTCTTCTTACCAGTCAACATTGAATTTTTGATACTATGCTCCAGAACTGTAACAGATCAAATACAAGGCAGGTAGCTCTCTTTCTCTAAATTTTCATTTTGAGCAATATCCACCGAACCATTTCTACAAAAGGGCTCCTTTCACTGCAGTGTAGAGTGGCCACCAAATCTTACAACCCATGCCATTTCTAGTGTCTGTATGAATATTAGTGTAATTCGATTATACAGGAAAAGAATCTTCTACCTTCATGATGTCAAGTCGCTCCTCATCACAGCGGACAAATACACTAGAGGATGAGGACAGAGGCAGTGAAGTGGAAAGCGTCACAGCTTCCTGGGCAAGGCGGCGGGCTCTGGCAGCACAGCTCGCATCATTTGCGTTTTTCACCTGAGACATGTAGTGGTAATTTACTTTAAAACCCAATTTTCCATCTTCATCTTCAGAAACCATCTCAAATGTATCTGAAAGAAGAAGAAATTTTTAAAAACTGGACCAAAACTACCTGAATCAAAGGGAGACATTAGAATGAAAAACACCACAAAGGCAATTACTAGTGTCTTTCACCCAAAATGCAGAATATCAGCAAACTAGAGATGCCTAGAACTGCACTTACACCATAGGACAAGTATAAAACTTCCTTTGAATTTTATACAGTTATCAACTACATATAAAAATGGATATATCTGGAATCTGGGGGCTCACACTAGTAACCCTAGCTACTGAGGAGGACAAGATCTGAGGACGGTGATTTGAAGTTAGCCCATGCAGGAAAGTCCATGAGACTCTGATCTCCAATTAACCACCAAAAAACCAGAAGTAGCACTGTGGCTCAAGTAGTAGAGCCCTTGCCTTGAACTAAAGAGCTCAGGGACAGTGCCCAGGCCAGAGTTAAAGCCTCACTACCAACCAAAAAAAAAGAAAGGTAGAATTTTAAGCCAGGCACTGGTAATTCACACATGTAATCCTAGCTACTCAGGAGGCTGGACCTGAAGATCACAGTTCAAGGCCAGCCCAGGCAGTAAAGTCCTTGAGACTGTTATCTTCAATTAACCACCAGAAAACCGGAAGTGAAGCTGTGGTACGAAGTGGTAGAGTGCTAGCTTTGAGTGAAAAAGCTCAGGGACAACAGAAAACTGGAAGTGAAGCTGTGGTACGAAGTGGTAGAGTGCTAGCTTTGAGTGAAAAAGCTCAGGGACAATGTCCAGGCCCTGAGTTCAAGCCATACAACCAACTTAGTAATGATGTGTTACTTCAAGACCATAGAAAAGACCTCTCTTCCTGATTTGCTCTCTTGGGTAAGATACATAAGCTTTGGTATATGAAGGTTCTCAAGAAGGTCTAAGGAGAGGCCCACATGACAAGGATCTGTAGCTTCCTATTCAGGGGTACACAAATGAGCCTGAAAGTATAGCCTCCAGCTCTGGTCAGGTCTTCATGCCACTAAAACTCCTCAATAGACATTATGACTGCAAATGCATAAGATACCCACAGTCACCATTCCAGAATTTCTGACCCATGGAAACGGAAAGATAATAAGAATTAAGTTGTTTTAAACATCTAGGTTTGGGAATAACCTTTTATAAGAAAATAATGGGGTGGGGCGGGGGGGGGGAGTGTAGTTGTGGAGGAAAAGGATGGTAGAGGAAAAACAAAGGAGGAGGCAATAATGCTTGATAGGAAATGTACTCATTACCTTGATCATGTAACTGTAACCCCTCTGTATAGTATTTTTACAATAAAAAACCTATTTTAAAAAAGAACATAATTATTTGGTAAAATACAATAAATACTAATTAGAGTCTAAACAAGCTATCAATGCTTTGTTTAGACTTTCATTGTCTATGTTCTTTTTTGTTTTTTTTTTTTTGTGTGTGGGGCCTGAACTCTGGGCTGGGCGCTGTCCCTTAGCTCTTTAGCTTAAGGCTATTACTCTACCACTTGAGCCACAGAGCCACTTCCAGTTTTTTCTGCTTATGTGATACTGAGGAATCGAACCCAGGGCCTCATGCATGCGAGGCAAGCACTCTACCACTGAGCCACCTTCTCAGACCTCATTGTCTATGTTCTAGTAGATACAAGTATATAATACTTATTTGATAATGCTTAAACCATGTAAATAAAATAATAGAAGTTATTGGTTTTAATACTCATAAAAATAATTTTCAAGCTGGGCGCCAGTGGCTCACTCCTGTAATCCTAGCCACTCAGGAGGCTGAGATGTGAGGATCACAGTTCAAAGCCAGCCTGGGGAAAGGCCATGAAATTCTCATCTCCAATAAACCACCAGAAAACCGGAAATGGTGCTGTGGCTCAAGTAGATAGAATGCTTGCCTTAAGCTGAAGAGCTGAGGGACAGCATTCAGGCCCAGAGTTCAAGCCCCAAGACTGACAAAACAATAAAAAGTAAAAATAAATAATAATTTTCAATGAAATGATTCTTCAAAAGTGTTATTTTTTTTTTTTTGCTGGTCCTGGGGCTTGAACTCAGGGCCTGAGCACTATCCATAAGCTCCTTTTGCTCAAGGCATCACCCTACCACTTAAGCCATAGAGCTACTTTCAGTTTTCCTTTATCCTATTTATGTGATACTGAAGAATCAAACTCAGGGATTCATGCATGCTAGGCAAGCACTCTACTGCTAAGCCACATTCCCAACCCCCAAAAGTATTATTTTAAAAGAAACAAAATATATAAAGAATCACGTAAGCTGAGCACTGGTGGCACACAGTTGCAATCCTAGCTACTTAGGGGGCTAAGATCTGAGGATCACAATTTGAAGCCAGCCAGGCAGAAAAACCCGTGGGCCCCTTATCTGCAAATAAGCACCAAAAAAGCCAGAAGTGGACCTGCAGTTCAAGTGGTGGAGTGCTAGCACCAAGACACCCACCCACCAAAAAAAAAAAAGACTCAATGAATAGATAACCATCAGATAACCAAACTGAGTCATTAAACTCTTGCCAAATGTCACCTTTATGGAAAACCTGAGAGGTAAGAAGAGCAAAACCTAAATGACTTCTAAAAAGGGTTTCCATGCTTACCCGACCATACTTTAGTGTACTTTTTGGAATATTCAAAGTTCTTTGGGCAGGTTCTCAGAATATAAAAGCACAGAAAGAAGAAAATGAATAGGAAACGAGAAAAAAAGAAGAAGAGCCCAGACAGTAAAAGCTAATAACAACCATTAAATTTCAGAACATGCTTCAAATATAGAATAACACTCTATGAGGGACTGATAGGATCTTTTCATCCCGCCTTCCTAGTCAGCACTTTGGCTTGAAATGGGAAAGGAATAGGACGTATTCTAAAGGCAAATCTCATGGAACTCTTAAAGGTAAGAGAGTAATAGAATTTACTCAGAGTTCAAGGTCTTGATTTCTGTTACACCATGATGTAAAATAATGAGAAATGGAACAAGGTTAAAGAGACAGCTCAATGGTAGAACAGTTACTTAATATGTATGAAGCCCTGAGTTCAATTCCTAACATTACAGGAAAGTAGTAGAAAGAAAACAATCACACAAAAAATAAAGATGTTCTAGATATACATAAAGTATAAATTGTTACTCTCGCAAAAGAAAACTTAAAATCTTTAATTTTGAAAAATTAACAATTAATAGCACTATTAAAAAGCTGAGAGCATACAAAATAAAAAAATTCAACTCACCAAACTGCAATTTCTTCATAACAGCCACGTATTTTTCTTCAAGTGACTTTAACACTGATAAAGGTTTAGGTTTCATAGCAGTTTTCTTGGAATAGTCACCTAGTTTTTTTTCTGTTATTTAATATTTTAAGAGAAATAACATTAAGTATACATTTTTTGAAGAACAAAATAAAAAATACTTATATAATTCAAGTTCCAAATTTCAAATACTATTAAACTTTTCACAATCAGTATTTCGCCATTTGAATAGTTTTTTTTCCTACTTCAAAATCAGTCTTCTATTGCTACTATATGAAATGGCAATTAAACTAAATTCTCATGCAAATCTTAATGTACTATTTCCTATCAATCAAATGGCATTTTACAATTTTATTACTTTCAGTGAGAAAAAACTATTCCCTTATGAACTAAAAATGTACTTTGTAATTCTATACAGAGGAGATAAATACTGTACAGTTACAAGTTATTCATAACTAAAGTCTGACAAAGAACAAAAACTGACAGGGAACAAACATTTGAAGTAACAGAGTCAGAACAGGAAGTCAGTTTTCTGTAGTTAGATGCCTAGTAACATGAAAGTGCTACTGTACCTTGATGCACTTGCCGTAGATTGGTGGTGGCTGCAGAAACTATCTCAGCAGTCTTTTGGATATCGGGCACCAAAAGAGTAAGTCCTTCTGGCTCTTGATCAGATGTATCTGGTTTAATGCCTGTTTTAACATTTTCCCTTTTAGATCTGATTTTATTTAATATGGAAAGAAATGGGGAAAAATTAGATTTTTAAGAATGGAAATAAAAACCTGCAAAAATCAGTAATAATCTTTTAAAAATTGAAATGATGAAATAAACTATGCAACCTGTAGGCAGGGACAGGACTTGGAAACTGGGGAAAAGTGAAGATGACACTGCCCAAAAAGAAATGTACTCATTACCAGACTTAAGAAACAATAACCCATCTGTACAATACCTCAATAATAATAAAATTGTATTTTTTTAAAAACTGGAATAAGGGTGTACATTTCATTTGTCATAAATGATAAGGGGTAAGTTCATTATTGCTAGCTTAAGGTCTAAGATAATAAATGAAGTTATGGAGCAGATACTCCCTACTAGTTAAAAGAAAAACATTGTACAAATGTAACATTATTTAAAAAACAAACAAAAAAAAAACAAAAAAAAAACTCAAGCCTGGCTTGAGTGGCTCATGCCTGTAATCCTACCTACTCAGGAGGCTGAGATCTGAGGATTGCAGTTTGAAGCCAGCCCAGACAGCAAAGTCCATAAGACTCTTATCTCTAATCAACTACCAAAAACCTAATGGTGCTGGGGTTTTAAGTGGTACAGGGCTAGTCTTGAGCAAAAAAGCTCAGGCAAGTGCCCAGGCTCTTAGGTTAAGCCCCAGAACCTACCCCAAAACAAAAACAAAAACAAAACAAACCCCTCAAGAAACTATCTGTCCTTAAGAGTCTTTACCTTTAAAAACATAAGCATCTGAAGCAGGGCCGGTGGCTCTCGCCTTTAATCCTAGCTACTCGGGAGGCTGTGATCAGATTGTGATTAGAAGCCAGCCAATGCAGAAAAGTCCTTGAGACTCCAATTAACTACCAAAAAATAAAAATAAAAAACAAAAAACCGGAATTGGAGCATGGCTCAAGTGGGAGAGTGCTAGGCTTGAGCACAAAAGCTCAGTGACAACATCCAGGACCTGAGTTGATGCCCAGGACTGGCACATCATAGTAGTAACAACAATAATAATAGTAATAATTATAAAAACATCTGGTTATAGAGAAATCTTTTCTAAAAAGAGAAGACAAGGGAATCCAGACATGGGAATCTTCAGAGACGTGGGAATGAAGGAATCATATGCAGGTTTTTATAACAATGTATTTCACTCACAATATGTTAAAAATAAAAAATGATATGCATAGTAAAATACAGGTTTACTCTATCTTTCCACAACTGTTTCTACAGACTGGACATTTAATGAAACACTATGTTTTAAAGTCATTTTTCTGCCATTTCTTACCAGGATGTAAAATGTACCCAATCTTACAATTAAATTGGATATATTCAATTGCATTTTTTCTTTTTATGTGGTGCTGAGGAATCGAACCCAGGGCCTCATGCATGCAAGGCAAGCGCTCTACCACTGAGCCACCTTCCCAGCCCCTTCAACTGCATTTTTATTATCTTTAGTTGTACAATTAACATTCAGCAAAAATCCTTTTTTTTTTTTTTGGAAAGTTGTGGGCCTTGAACTCTGGGCCTGAGTCCTGTCCCTCAGCTCTTCAGCTCAAGGTTAGTGCTCTACCACTTGATCTACAGCGCCACTTCTGGTTTTCTGGTGGTTTATTGGAGATAAGAGTTTCACGGAGTTTCCTGCCCGGGCTGGCTTTGAACTGTGATCCTCAGATCTCAGCCTCCTGAGTATCTAGGATTACAGGCGTGAGCCGCCGGCGACCAGCTTCAGCAAAAATCTATCCCAATGAATATAGTTTTAGTACATGATTCACAAAACATCAAAACTAAACATTATTTCCTTTTTTTTTTCGTCTTATCAGTAGTGGGGCTTGAACTCTGGGCTTAGGCACTGTCCCTGACTCTACTGCTTGAGCTACAGCACCACTTCCCATTTTCTAGTGATTTATTGGAGGTAAGAGTCTCATGGAGTTTCCCAGGCTGGCTCTGAATCGTGATCCTCAGATCTTAGCCTCCTGAGTAGCTAGGATTACAGGAGTGAGCCACCGGTACCCTGCTCATTATTTCCTTTTCTTTTAATCTTCTAGTCCAACCCTCAGCACACATTATACATATAATAAAACTTGACTGCTTAGTTTGTTTTTTAGTTTGTTTTGTTTTGGTGTCAGTACTAGGGGCTTGAACTCAGTGCCTCTCACTCTCACTTGGCCTTTTTACTTAAGGATGGCACTTTACCACTTGAGTCACAGCTCTACTTCCAGCTTTTTGATAGTTAAATCGAGAGGAATCTCACTGGCTTTTCTGCCCAAGCTGGCTTTGAACCAGGATCCTCAGATCTCAGCCTCCCAAGTAGATAAGATTACAAGTGAGAAACACCAGCATCCAAGAACTAGGTAAGAGTTAAAAAAAAAAAAAAAGACTATCTTCTTTAATCAAGTAAATAGAAATGTTAAAAGTGCTTAAAATAGTATATGTAGAAGTATAATCGAAACTATATCACTTATTTTCCTTGATGTAAACTTGTCAACAAAAGGATGCTGTCCTTATAGTAAAATATTTCACAAAGCAGGCAATACATTCATAAAAGTAATGATGGGAAAATAATATCAAGAAGCATTGTACTCATAACCTGTACAACTACTTAGTAATAATAATAGAGACTAAATAATAATTGAAACAAAAATAATGTCATCTAATGTTGCCAGGTGCCAGTGGCTCACGCCTGTAATCCTAGCTACTCAGGAGGCTTAGATGTGAGGATGGCGGTTCAAAGCCAGCCTGGACAGGAAAGTACGGAAAGTCCGTGATATTCTTATCTCCAATTAACCACCAGAAACCCAGAAGGGGTGCTGTGGCTCAAGTGGTAGAGTGCTGGCCTTGAGCTGAAGAGCTGAGGAACAGCGTTCAGGCTCAGAGTTCAAGCCCCATGACCAGGGGAGAAAAAAAAATGTTAATGTCCAAGAAAAAGAGAAATTTGATATTCACAGTAAAATATAAGTTCACTATTAGATATCATCACAAAGATAAAATCCTGCTTAGAACAAATTCAGTGTTTAACCTCAGGTAGGTAATAAGTAGATAATTAAAACCCATTCCTGTTGGTAGCAAAAGCACATGGATACAGAATTAATGCACGTGTTTTGAATATGTTTCCCGCAGTATATAAAAAACTAGCATCCACACATATTTCTAACTACACAGTAATATGGGCTTAAGTGGAAAAGCCAAATGTGTCCCTGAATTACTTCCTTGGCCCTGAGATGAAAGAAGTCATGGAGAATACACATCCACTTTCCTTTGCTATGAGTTATCCACCTGGCACTCATATTGTATATCATTTCAATGATCAACTTCTGTATGTGTGTACAGGAATATAAGTGTAACAACTGTAACAATATAGTTAATGTAGAAACATTGGGTGTTTTTACTACTACAACCAAAACTGTACTTGACAGCTTTATCTGGTCATCGTATTGACTTATTTTGACAGTTCTAGAGATTGAACTCAGGGCCTAATGCTTCCTGGGCAGCTCTGTCCTACAAAATCTTTTTTTTTTTTTTTTTTTCAGATAAGGTCTTCAACTGTAGCCCAGGGAAAAACAATCCTCCTATGTTTACCTCCCAAGTAGCTGAGATGATAGAGGTGAACCACCACACCTGGCTTGTTTTTCCTAAAACACTGCACTCATTTTTTTACCTGGGCAGATCTTGAATCAAGATCCTCTTATCTCTGTCTCCCAGGGATCTGCAATTACAGGCCTGGACCACTTCACACTGCCCTGAGTCTGCTCTTTTCTTAATAAGAAATTATTCAGACAGTAACTCAAGCTCTTAATTATATTTATAAAAAGCTATTAATAACCAGTGTCAAACACTGACAAAAAAAGAGCAAACTGTTAACAGCACCCACTTGGAATGGACAAGGATTTTTTTCCTCCCTAAGTATAAAGGATTTGCTATTACAGAGACCTCCCCCGCCCCCCAAAAAAAAGCATTAAGGGCACTAAACTATAAAAAACAACAACAGCAAGCTGTTTGGGGGGAAATAGTAGTTATAGCGATGATAAAATTGAAATACAGATAATGTCTTAAAGCATAACATCAGTCAGATTATCCATTATATTCATAACAAAAGACTTCACTTAAAGAAACGTATCTTTCTAAACAGGTAAGAAAAGTGTGAAAGCAAAGGACACTTTTTCCAGAAAGGATATCTTCTCACTGAAAAACCAAGAAACTCTGAAATAAAGCCCAAGATGTGTGTGTGTTTGTGTATGTGTGTCTATTTATGTATATATGTATGTATGTGCATGCATGCAACTTTAGGCTTTATTTTATTAACCACCTAGTATATATAGATTACCTTCAAAATATAAACTTCAAGCTCTGTTTACAAATAACAATTTCCTAACTCCAGTTGTACAAAGATTAGTGGGTTATTAAAATAGACTAAATATGATGGTAAGTTTTGACTTTCTAAAAAAAAATAAGAACCCAGAGTCTTTTATCTATTGTTTAAAAAAATCAAACGAAATCAATAAATGTTCTCCTATCTCATATGGAGGCCAATGGTTAAATCATAAAGAAGATAAACGTTTACCCAGGGTTCTAATGAGAATTTTTACTTCAAAAGTATCTCTGTCAAAAATATACAGGGGGAAAAAAAAAAAAAAGCTGGGCATGGGTGACTTACTACTCAGGAGGCTGAGATCTGAGGATCATAGTTCATAGCCAGCCTGGGGAAGTAAAGTCCATGAGACACTTATTTCCAATTACCTACCAAAATAGGGGAGCTGTGGCTCAAGTTTTAGGGTACTAGCCTTGAGCAAAAAAGAAAGGCTCAGGGACAATACCCAGGCCCTGAATTCAGGCCCCAAATACAGTGGGGGAAAAGGGTACAGTGGTGTAGGGAATAATCTCCAAAAGGTAACAATATTTAAAATATATGAAGGACACACACTACCTGCCTTTCAATGTTCACAGTGATTCATTGTCTGACATTAAACTAAAGCCAGTAATCTCATTTTGTTTTAAGGT